GGAGCGCGGTTAGCAGGACCATGTGTCCAACCGACGGTTACCCCATGAGACCGACTTGGGACCTGTTATTTGCATAATCCAGGACCGCCAACCTAGCTCGTTTTCCTGTGGATGACCCTGCCCTTCAGATTGCTTCTTTACAAGACAATCCTGAGGAGGCCCGTTCAACGACCCTGGAGGTCATGGCATGGGCAGCTCGACCAGACCTGTCGCGAGGAGCAAGAGATGGTCCAAGGGCCTGTCTGGGGGCTCACTATGAGCTGGCACCGAAGGGTTGATGCGGTCATGCGCCCCCGTCGGCGTTAGCCCCCCGATATATATATATATATATTACACACCAACATATATATATATATATATATATATCTATATATATTATATATATATATATATATATATATTATATATATATAAATCACACATACCCATATACATATATATATATATATATATATATATAATTATATATATATATATATATAATAATATATATCAGCTATATTATATGTATATATATAGATATATATATATATATATATATATAATATAGATAATATAATATATATATATACATATAATATATATAATTATAATATATATATCTATATATCTATCTATAACTATATATCTATTATATATGTATATATATATATATATATCTATACTATAATTTATATTAGTATATAGATATACTATATATATACATATATATAATATATATATAGCTTATTATATATATATATCTCTATATAATAGTATAGATCTATATATGTCAATTATAGTATAATCTTCTCTATATAAGTCTCCTCTATCACCTCTATATACTATATCTACATCTTCTATATATAACTATCGTATCTATATATCGTTATCTATCTCATACATATATCTCATCTCTATCTCTATATCTCTCTATATCTATCTGCACTGTAAACTGATATATATATCTTATGCGTGTGTGTGGTGTGGTGTGTGTGGTGTATATATCTAAATCTATATATATATACTATCTCTCTATCAATCGTATCTATATACATCTTATATATATATACATATATAGCCTATATTAGACCAAGAGAATGTATATATATATATATATATAATATATATATATATATATCTATATATATATAATCTCTTCCTCTATATGTATATATATATATACTATATATATATATAATATATATATCTTATATATACAACGTATATAATATATATTTATATCTATATATATATATAGCTATATTATATAATATATATATATATATATATTATGTTTATGTCTATATCTCTCTCTCTCTCTTAATTTTACTATCTCTCTCTCTCTATCTATATAATATATCTATATTTGGTGTGTGTGTGTGTGTGTGTGTGTGTGTGTGTGTGTGGTTGTGTGTGTGTGTGTGGTGTGACTGTACAACGTGTGCGGGTGTGTGCTGTTTATATATTTAGGCAGACAACGACACGCACACCGGAGCCCACATGCGACGCGCATTCTCCCACGAAGAAAGTCACCAGAAGAAGTCTCCGAGCCCAGATAGCACGCGGGGGTGATTGTCGAGGTCACGGTTTCCAAGAGTCAATTAGCTAATTGTATCTTTTTGCTTCGTTTGGTATGTATCTGTCCTGTCTTATTCGTTTGGTTGTTTGTTTGTTTTTGTCTGTCCTGTCTCTTATGTGTTATATTGCCTGTCCTATAGACCCCTTTTTTTGGCTGAGATCTCCTTTCTTTCCTTTCTCTCTCTCTCTCTCTCTCATCCTCTCTCTCTCTCTCTCTCTCTCGTCTCTCTCTCATCTTTTTCCTGTCTGTATCTCTGTTTTCCCTTTCCCTCTCTTCCTCCACTTCGCTTCTTCTTTCCCTCCATTCTTCCTCCTTCCTTCCTTCTCCTTCGTCTTCCTTCCTTCATGTGCCTCTCTAATTCATTCCTTCTCCTCTTTCTCCACATCTCCTTTCTCTCGCTTTCTCCAGCCCCTCACCTCTCTATCTATTTATCTATCCATCGGACTTTTCTATCTATCTCTTTATCTATCTATCTCCCACCTTCCCAGCCCTCCCACCTTCCTCCCCCCACGCGCTCATCTATCTATTCTATTTTCTTTCCATCTCCATCTCCTCTCTCTCTGTGCGCTCCTATTCTCTACTCTCTCTCTCTCTCTACTCGTCTCTCTCTCTCTCATCTCCTCGTCTCTCGCTCTCTCTCGTCTCTCATCTCTCTCTCTCTCTCTTTGTTCTCTACTCTCTCTCTCTCTCTTTCCTCCCTCTCATCTCTCCCTCTCGTCGTCTCCTCGGTCTCTCTTCGTCATCTCCTTCTCCTCTCTCTCATCTCTCTCCTCTCTTCTCTCTCTCTCATCTCTCTCTTTTGTGCTGACTCTCTCTCTCTCTCTTTCTCGTCTCTCTCCTCGTCCTCAAACCACCATCTCCTCTCGTCCCTCTCCTCTCTCTCTCTCTCTCTCTCTCTTCTCTCGGTCCTCTCTCTCTCCATCTCTTCATCTCTCATCTCTCTCTCTCTCTCTTTTGCGCCTCTACTCTCTACTCTACTACTCTCTGCTCTCTCTTCGTCTCTCCTCTCTCTCTCTCACCCCCTTACTTCTCTCTCCTCTTCTCTCTCTCTCCCGTCGTCCTCTCTCTTGCTCCTCTCTCTCGCTCTCTCTCTCTTCTCCTATCCCTTCTTCTCTATCTCTCTATCGCTTCTCTCTTCTCTCTCTACTATCTTCTATCTCTCTCTCTCTCCTCTCTCTGTCCGCTCTGTCTCTCTCTCTCTCTCTCTCTCCTCTCTCTCTCTACTCTCTATCTCTCTCTCTCTCTCTGTGTGTGTGTGTGTGTGTGTGTGTGTGTGTGTGTGTGTGTGTGTGTGTGTGTGTGTGTGACTGTACACGTGTGCATGTGTGTGTGTGTTTATATATTTATTCATACAAACACACGCACACGGAGCCACATGCAGACGCGCATTCTCCCACGAAGAAGTCACCAGAAGAAGTCTCGAGCCCAGATAGCACGCGGGGGGATTTCGAGGTCACGGTTTCCAAGAGTCAATTAGCTGATGTATCTTTTTGCTTCGGTTTGGTATGGATCTATGTCTGTCTTATTCGTTTGTCTGTTTGTTTGTTTTTGTCTGTCTGTCTCTTATGTGTGATATTTGCCTGTCTATAGACCCCTTTTTTTGGCTGAAATCTCCTTTCCTTTCCTTTCTCTCTCTCTCTCTCTCTCTCTCTCTCTCTCTCTCTCTCTCTCTCTCTCTCTCTCTCTCTTTTCCTGTTTGTATATCTGTTTCCCTTTCCCTCTCTTCCTCCACTTCGGCTTCCTTCTTTCCCTCTCATTCTTCCTTCCTTCCTTCCTTCTCATTCTTCCTTCCTTCCTTCATGTGCCTCTCTAATTCATTCCTTCTCCTCTTTCTCCACATCTCCTTTCCTCGCTTTCCCGCCCCCACCTCTCTATCTATCTATCTATCCATCGGCCTTTCTATCTATCTCTTTATTTATCTATCTACCACCTTCCCTCCCTCCCCACCTTCCTCCCCCCACGCTCTCAGTCTATCTATCTATTTTCTTTCCATCTCCATCTCCTCTCTCTCTTGCGCTCTATTCTCTACTCTCTCTCTCTCTCTCTCTCTCTCTCTCTCTCTCTCTCTCTCTCTCTCTCTCTCTCTCTCTCTCTCTCTCTCTCTCTTTTGTGCTCTACTCTCTCTCTCTCTCTTCTCTCTCTCTCTCTCTCTCTCTCTCTCTCTCTCTCTCTCTCTCTCTCTCTCTCTCTCTCTCTCTCTCTCTCTCTCTCTCTCTCTCTCTCTCTCTCTTTGTGCTCTACTCTCTCTCTCTCTCTTCTCTCTCTCTCTCTCTCTCTCTCTCTCTCTCTCTCTCTCTCTCTCTCTCTCTCTCTCTCTCTCTCTCTCTCTCTCTCTCTCTCTCTCTCTCTCTCTCTCTTTGCGCTCTACTCTCTACTCTCTCTCTCTCTCTCTCTCTCTCTCTCTCTCTCTCTCTCTCTCTCTCTCTCTCTCTCTCTCTCTCTCTCTCTCTCTCTCTCTTCTCTCTCTCTCTCTCTCTCTCTCTCTCTCTCTCTCTCTCTCTCTCTCTCTTTGCGCTCTACTCTCTACTCTCTCTCTCTCTCTCTCTCTCTCTCTCTCTTCTCTCTCTCTCTCTCTCTCTCTCTCTCTCTCTCTCTCTCTCTCTCTCTCTCTCTCTCTCTCTCTCTCTCTCTCTCTCTCTCTCTCTCTCTCTCTTCCTCTTCCTTCCTTCGCAATTCCTCTCTCTCCCTCACTTATACATAATATATGTCTGTTTCCACGTGCGTATCCTCACCAATGACTCGTAGTTTCACGCCCCTGCCCTATATTTCATGACAGTTACAAGATTGCATAATCGGGCTACCCATTAACACGTACGTCATGTCAGGACTCTCCGTGCATGCGAGGCTGTGTCACGGCAACGGCAATTGCGGTGTTATCTGTCATGAGTGAATTTAATGTAAGAGTCACGTGGTGTCATGGCTGATAGCGCTGTGTCTAAGTGTCATTTTGCAAGGGGTGTGTATGTGGAAGTAAGACCATTGAGGTTTGTTTTGTGTTTACTGTCTTTTTTTTGTTTGTTTTTGTTTTTTGTTGTTGATTTTCCTTGTTTCCTTATTTTCCCCCTTTGCCCTCTTTCTTGGTTGTTTTTTTATACTTGTCTTTTCTTTTTTTTCTTATTTTCATACTTTTATTTGCAGGTGATAAAAAAGTCATTTCCATTTGCCTTTTATTTCTCAAAATAAATACAATATCTTTCCAAGTAGCACGTAAACTACCTTAATGTATTGACATTTTGCCGTCATATATATATATATATATATATATATATATATATATATATATATATATATATATATATATATATATATATATATATATATATATATATATATATATATATATATATATATATATGTATATATATATATATATATATATATATATATATATATATATATATATATATATATATATATATATATATATATATATATATAT